ATGGGTGAATCTAAATCATAAGATACTAAAGTGCCTGGTTGGACTGGAGGTGGAAGGAAAGTATGGAGCAAAACAATTTCACACCTAGGAGTTGGGGCAGCAGACCAGCAGATTGCTAGCTAGGCCGCAGCCTTTCACTTCTCCGTTTTGTGCCTCAGCGCCTGTAACACAGAGGAATTATACTGAACTTCCTTTCCAGAGCTTTAGGAACTCAAATCAAAGCCTATAAATATCAGGTCAGGCTATGCAGCCTATGTGTAGTTTTGATACTTACATAGCTCCAGGTAGCAGGAAAAGCACAGGTTGACCAACACCAGTGCATCTTCATTAGGGAAGCTCCCGTTTTCTGAATCCAGATAATTAAGAGTGGAATAAAACCTGTATGCAGCCCAGCTTTGCAAGCATTGCCCATAGGGTGACCAATATCTTCCCTTGTGATACATTGTTAGGAGCCTCCACTCCATACACCGCCCTCTCCGTATACTGTGAGCTACAAGCTCATGGCCCAGCTGCAATGCCTCCAAACCGCACCACGTTGCAACTTCTCTTTGCCTGCTCCCACAGGGAACTGCATGAGTGAGTTCATGGGGCTCATCAGAGGCCACTACGAAGCAAAGGAAGAAGGCTTTCATCCTGGAGGGGCTAGCTTGCACAGCATGATGACTCCTCATGGGCCGGATGCTGACTGTTTTGAGAAGGCAAGCAAAGCCAAGCTGGAGCCTGAGAGGGTTGCAGAAGGGACTATGGTAAGAACCCGAGGAAGACAGCAAGGTTTTGTATACAGCACGACCTACTGCCACTGTGGGACTCTCAAAGTATAGCTGAGCTTCTTACAGGCAAGCTGGATAAGTACTGGGATCAAACTGTTGCAGTACTCACACCCCTTACTGATCAGCACTGTTCAGTTCCCAGGACTGTCCTTGGAGATATGAGACACTAGGCAGCTTTGATCATCTGCCCACATCAATTGATGTCTGAGCAGGGAGCTAGGAATTTTCATGCTGACTGAGTTAATTTTTGCCTTAGCCTATGGACAAAGTGAAACCCCTGGCTCTCCTCCTCTCCTGAACCCCTAACGCATAATAATGATGATCATCAACAGGCCCTGTGCCAGAGCTCTTGGAACAACACGGCCTTACTAGATGTGGAGAGAGTCCAAAGTCACATCAGAGACCTAATTGATATCAGTATTACAATGCCAGCTCTCAAGAGCTTTCATAATCTCTGCTGGGAATTGCTTTCCCCCCCTGGGCTGAGCAGGTTAGAGGCAGAGCCACCTTGCCTGAAATCGAACCCTCTCTCTCTCTCCTGCCCTAATGTACCTTCCTTTTCCTAACAGGCCTTCATGTTTGAGTCTTCCTTCAGTTTGGCTGTTACCAAATGGGGCCTCAAGACCTCCAACTGCCTGGATAAAAACTACTACAAGTGCTGGGAACCTCTGAAAAGCCATTTCAATCCTAATTGCAAGTAAAGAAATTGTTGCTTGCAATACACGAAGGAAGACAGGGAAATCCAGTACGCCTGCGTGTGCTGGGGTAGTCAACTCAGGCAACACAGAGTGATCCAGTACAGAATGGTAATTCCAGCAGCCACTGAGTCACTGAAAAGACCGTGCCTATGTAACTTGGGAAATGCCATAAAACAACACCACTATTCTTAGTTTTCATGTATCCAATTAAAGCTTTCCTTGTGACACATCGAAGCTGAAATGCTTGTATGGCCCTCACTATGTGAAGTTGCTGTGAATGCTGTATATCGTGTGGTTATGAGGTGACAGTTCCATTCCACAGGGGCCTCCTGGAAATATGACATGAGGTGTCCTCCACAGGATGGGTAGCCAAGGATCAGCAAAGCGTTACGCTGTCTGTAAGGGAAGAACTTTCAAAATAAGAGCTGAAGACTCTGCCAGGCCTACCTTCTATCAGAGCAGGGCATTTCAAGCTGCTTTTCTGTGGTTGCCAAGAAAAGCCTTTATTGTCAGGAGAGTATTCTGCAGATTGGAAGAGATTAGAGAATCCTAAATGCTTCACTGCTAATTGAGGGAACATTACCTTTCCAATCCCACATCCTAGCCATCTTTCTACACCAGCTTGTTTGTCAGCACTCAACAATGTTTTTCCCAGTTATGTGCTAATTTGCACCTTAGAGAGAGGGCTTGGCTGACCAGCCTGAACATTTGTTCCTGTGAAGAAAAGTCGAGGGCAGATAGCTTTGAGGAGGACCTCAAAAACCATTGGAATATTCAAGCCACCTACTCTTCGTACACGGTGATTTCAAATCACCCTCCTATCCCACAGGATGGAGGCAGAAAGGGAAGCCCCCAGTAGGATAGGAACCAGGTGCGTGGCCCAGGAATCCCAGCCCTCAGGCCTCGGCTGTAGCCACATACCCACTTTGTCGTCATGTCAAAAATAGGATTTGGAGGGATCAAGTTTAGTAAGACAGTGAGGTAGTAAATGTTGCTGTCAAGCCATTTGTCTGTCTCATTTGCATATGTGCTAAACTATCCAGTTGGCTTACAACACACGCTCATTTATCTTCTGTGTGGACCTGATTTCTTCTACTGAGCCCACCAAGACTAAAAAGAAATTTGGATAACAGTCTAGGATATGAATTGGGTAAGTTTGGTCCATCAGGATCTATGCTTCTTACTCCCAAAGAGAGACAAACTTGTTTACCAACAAAGGGAGGAAATTTGGACCTGGAACAGCTAACTTCAATCAGACACCTCCATCAGTGGATTTGGACCTGCACCGGATTCTCAGGGAGCAAAAAAGCATAGGCTTTCAGCTAAGTATTACATTATAAAATCCACAGGGAGATGTTTACTTTAAAATAACCAACTTAGAAGACCACAATCAAGAGAATCAATTTGCCAGAGAAGTTGATTTTATCAGACTGATCCAGGGACAAATACTTCACTGGCAGAGGGGAAAAGCTTGTTTTCAGTTTGGGACATAAATTATTATCCAGTGATCTGCATGCTTGAGTTTCCCTCGCTATAGACTCATCGCCGAAATAGACATGGGTGGTAATACACCAGTCAAGGGTAAAATTCTGTGAGGCACTATCACTCTCTGTCTTCGCCCCACATTTCTGAATTGAAACACCTCTTTGATTCCTCTAAGCACCCAGTCCTACTGCCTCAAACCACCAACCCGACCTCCAGGAGCGTGATACGCTCCTTCCAAAAAACGGCTTGGAGAGTTCTGCAAATAACAAGAGAGAAAAGTAGGGCAGCCTTTCTCCAGGAACCGCACTCAGATCTGCAGGGACATAGCATCAGACAATTTTGTCTGCAAAGGAAAGGGCTGTGGCAGGTGCAGCGAGCCAATCAAAGGCTGACCTAAAAGACTAGAGGCGCTGTACTCATCTACAATCCATCCCGAACAATTTGTTCAACCGGCCTGAAACAAATATAGCTGCAAGGGAAATTTTACATGTGTGGCAACTCAAGTTCCAATTAACTAAGGAAATGGGTCCTGGGAGATCAAATTAGTTTGTGGCTGCAGGAAGATAGTTAATTTAGCATTCTGAGACAAGCAATTATTTCTTTCCC